GTACCAGTGAGTCGGTCATTGACTGCTGCAGCTCTCACACCTCGACACTTCTGTTCCAGGCACTTGACTTGTTACTTCACATTACAGTGCACACCGCTACTTTTGCACTAAAAGACCGCTGTCTAACACACACACACACATAAACAGCTCCTCATAAAACAAAAGTAGGCGACCAAGTGGTGCTGTCTGCTGAGGAGTTAGGCACAGTTGCAGACAGCCTGCCTGGCTGGCTGACTTGCACGACGACGAAAGTGTGGCAAGAGAGTGAGTGAATGAGCAAGAGCAGACACAGCGTCGACGAGTGATGGCGCGACTCACTGTCTTTCTCTCGAGTGTCAATGGCCTCGGCAGACTTCTTCTTCTTTCTTCGAGCTTCCAACACGTGTGAGCACTTTCTTTCTCTCTCAGGACAGAGACAGTAGCAAGAGCTGCTGCTCTACTGCGCAGTACGTCGCAGATCAGAGAGAAACATCAAAATCAAAATANTTTCTTCGAGCTTCCAACACGTGTGAGCACTTTCTTTCTCTCTCAGGACAGAGACAGTAGCAAGAGCTGCTGCTCTACTGCGCAGTACGTCGCAGATCAGAGAGAAACATCAAAATCAAAATAAAAAGCGCAAAGGGCGCCAATGGTCGTCGGCAGAAATCGGGGCCACCACGACTACCTGACTACAATGCGAACACAAGATAGTAGTGCTCCCTACTTTGCCTGAAGCACCCTGTACAGTACTGTACTGTACTGAAGACAAACTCACGTCAAGTGCAGAGACTTCTCCGGAGGCGACACTGGAGCCTCCAAGTTCACAGTGGATGACCGGTGATGACCACCACCGCCACTGAGTTGCGGAGTATGGTTACTCGAGTTGTTGACTACTGAAGAAGCCGTCGCTGGTGACATGCTGCTGGATGAAGATGTTGCTGCACTGCCAGCTACACCAGTGGTGCGAGTGCCCAGAGTCGCACCAGAGTGCCCGCAACCCGACACCGAAGATGCGGCGACGGCGGCGGCGATGATGCCCTTTGCGGCGGTGCTGTTATTATTACTTGCATGATTACTACTATTGCCATTGCCATTGCCATGATTGGCACTAGTGGAGGATGAGTTGGATGTTGAGTGAGCATTGTTCCGGCTGCCACCGTTGCTGGTGCCGTTCACGTAGGTGCCGCCATTTGTGTGACTGTTGGCGTGGTGGCCATTGGTGCTGCTGATGAGGTGGTGGTGGTGGCCACCGCGGTTCACATGTGATGGTCGCATCGATGACTTAGTAGTAGTACTGCTGCTGGTGCTGGTGGACTGATGGTGGTGACCACTGCTGCTGTTAGCGGTCACGCCATTACTGCTGACCAGAGAATTGGTCGCCTGACTTGGGTGCTGCTGCTGTTGCTGCTGACTGCCGGACACGGCAGCGGTAGTGGCAGGCATTTTCACTTTGGGCTGACTTAAAGTTAATAGATAATATTGAGGATAAACAAACAAACAAAACAACAACGATCAACAACAACAATCAAGTGAAGTTTGCTTGACAAGAATATAAACACGATTGGAGGAGAAGGAAGAGGAGGAGGAGGAAGGAAGATCACACGACACAATCACAATAGGTTGAAACGTTGAAAACGGTGATAGAGAGTTAAGTCATGAGGCTAGTCGTCGTTGAGTCGAGATGATGCCAGCAGTGGTGGTAGTCTTTCGAGACAGTGCCAGACAAATGGCAGAAAGTGGTGGAGGAGGTCGTTTTGGCAAAGGCACTGGCACTGGCACTGGTCAATTCAGCCAAGCAGCCAACCTTCCGATGCCGTACAACAGTAAAACTTTTTCGAGCTTGAGAAGCCACCATTTTCAGAGCTGGCAGTGGCAATCAATTCTTGACAATCACCGACAGTGATGCTGCATTATGCCGACAATTCCGATAGTGCTGAGGAATGAGTTGTCGTACATCGTGTCAGCGAAAGTGAACACTGAGCAATGAACAACTTCAGCTGCAACTGACCGCACCGACCAGCCCGACCGGCACCAAAGTTTCGACCAAGGTGCACACTGACACAGCCACACACACACTGGCTCACGTGACTAGCACTGATCGGCAATGGCGCGCGTCCGAGAACGAGAAACCGGAGAATGAGCCGTGACGAGAACACACACACTGATCTAACACAGCTGAAGAAGGAGAAGAAAACAGTAGACAACGGATTGCGGATAAGAAGGTGGTGGAAGGAGTAGGAGGTGCTGGTGGTGAAGTGGTTGACAGTACTCGCAAGTGGAGCAAAAAGAGAAGCGGAGCAATCAGACGTTAAGTGCAAACTCTGCACGAGCTTTAATGTTATGCAAGAGACCAAGTCAAGTGCACTGACTGACTGCATTCACTCTGCTGACCAGGATACAGCGAGAAGCAGCGTGTCGGCGGCAGCAGCAGCATTCATTCATTCAAGCACCGGTTCACTACTTCAGCAACACAAACCAGTGCCCACCAGCGTCAAAGTGTGCCTTGAAACGGTGCTGCGATTGTCGCAATCCATTCAGTGAGCAGTTGATGTGAGCATCATCATCAGCACACAGGTAATTGGCCGAAACCGAGCACAGTGAACAGCCAGTGTGTGTGCGAAGGACAACAGCGTTGCGCCGGTGCTGATGTCACAAGGCCAGTGTGTGCGTGTGTGTGTGTGTGTGCTGGACGCTGACAGCTTGGTGGCTGTCAAGGTGTAGGTCGACACAGTGAAAAGGGGTGGACTAAAAGAAGATCTTCAGGAAAGAACGGGGTGAATGCGTGGCAAACGACAAAACAAAGAGAGCATATAATATAAAACTGTAGATGAGATCACACGTGGGCAGAAAACAAAACGAAACGAAAACGATGATGATTCAACAGATGACAAACAACGACGACGGCGGCGGCGGAAAAGGAAGTCGACGGCGAAAGAGAATGGTGGTCGCACGAAAGATGTGAGAGCGGGGGAAAGAATGAGCTAACGACGAAAGGGGAACACTTCAATTGGCAGTCCAAACCCTCCACCTCCACCACCACCAAGTGGCATCTCAATCTTCACAACAGACACAAACACCGACGCAGGACAGTCTCTCAGAGTGAGATCAAGACACTAAGCTGAGGGTAGGTAGGTAATTGGCGCCAGTGACAGAGAAGAAAGAACAACTTTGTAGCACAGTGTGAAATGGGTGCAGTTGGGCAGTAGCAGCCACGAGAAAAGACCAAGTGTGTGTATTATTCAGTGTCTGATCGCAGTCGACTGACAGTGAGAGAGCGTGTGTGTGCGATAGTGTGCCGCCGCCGAATGGTCTTTCTGTCGACTGACTACCATCTCTCTCCTCTCGCTCTCAGCCTGGACGACGTGACTCTGTTTTGGAGGAGGATGGCACAGCAGCAGCAGTCGTCGCCGCACAGTGCCTGTTCTGCCACTCTGTCGTACAGCAGAGAGTGCTGCTGGCGGTGTGGAGAAAGATAGAGAAAGAGAAAGAGAGAGACCATAAACAAGCCCGTTGCGCCTGCGTCCGAGGCGCGCAGGCACACGATGACATAACTGGATTGAGACCACGGGAAGAAGAGGAAGAAGAGGAGGAGGAAGAAGGGCGCGAGAAGGCGCGCATCACATCGCCCCGTAGTGGCGCCAGAGTAGCCGATGATCTTGCTAGCTGACTAGCTGCCTTGGCTGCCTCTGCGAGCGAGCGCGCGCCTTTGACGACCAAGTCGCGCCGCGGTGGTTGTCCTCCTGCCGGTGGTGGTGGTGGTGGTGGGAACTTGCCGCGCAAGAAAAAGCGAAAGAGAGAGTCTGGACCGAAGAGGCATTACCACCACCGCCGAAAGAAAGAAAGAACAATCGAGAAGTGTGCATGTGCGAATGGCGGCAGCCTGTAGACAAGAGAGGACAGGAGGAGGAGGAGGAGGAAAGTGGCAGCCACAACCTCATCACCACCACCACCGCCGACACGTAAGAAGTTTGGCCAGGTTAGAGAGTGAGTACACTAAATGCTGACTTGACTTTTCATGAATGAATGAATGAGTGAAAAACAGAGTGCCAGCACTCTATTCTGCACATTCTACCGGCAGAAAATCAGCCAGTCAACCAGGGAAAAGGACTGGGCAGACAGCAGCGGCCAGATTCCCAGATGAGCCAAAGTGCATTAGGGACATGGAAACTTTTTCACCCTTGCCTTCCCCCCAGACCTGACAACATTCCTGGGTAGGCTGCCGCCGACAATCCATTCACACACACATACACAAGCAGACAGCTCGGCATGGGAGCACAACAAAATTCAGTCTGACAGAAGGCAATTAATAACGCACGGTACTGTACTGTCCAAGCGGAAAGTAGCATCCACCACCACCACCGTCACCTTGACAGTAGCCATCGAGTGTAGGTTGGTAGGACAACCACCAGCAGACATTTGTGCGAGCGCTTCCACCCCCTCCCCTCAGTTTGCAATGAGGAAACACTGGCTGCAGAGAGAGGAGTGCACAGCACTGCTGAAACAAACAAACACTACGGCAGTGGTGCTCTTCACTACTACTAGTTCAGTTCAGTTACACTCAATTTGACTGAAGCCATCACATCACGCGCTTGGTGCGTCGCAGGAGTGGAACACGCAGGAATGAATGCGCTTCTCCACCAACCAACCGTCGCCACAGTTTCAGGATCTGCGGCGACCAAGCTGCGCAGTAAGCAGCTGACAATTCAGCGCTAAGCTATGGACGACACACTGAGAAGCCTCAGTACAATGAAACACAGCACACCGAATTACTTTCCGGTGACTGTGTGAAAATTTGGGCAACTGGTCGAATGGAAAGTGCTGCGGGGAACAACTACTCATCTTCACGTGAATAGAGGCAATTTGTGCCCCCTATTTGCAGCTCGTTCCGCTCCCTTTCGGTGAACAGCCTATCTGCCCAGATGATCAGCGGCCTGTGTAGGCGGCGGCGTGCAGCCACCTGGTACCAGGTTGCTACTTTTGCTTCGCAAACAGGTGACCAAAATCAGAGACCACTAGTCTGAGTCCCTAGTCAGCTAGTTTAGCTAATGTGTGTGTGTGCCAGTAGCGATAGTGAGCGTGTGTTGACGCTGGGCAAACAGCGTACAAATGAGCGAGCGAGCGAGCGAGAGTATAATAAAAGGTACCACCTACCGAATGTTACTGACGTTCTTCTCATTGCTGAGGAGAATGTCCGCCTCCTCGTAGATGTCCGGATTGTAGGTGATGAGTTTGCCGTCGGTGCATCGGGTGACGACAGCAGCAGTAGACGTGGTCGTCGCCGCTGACTGCTGCTGCTGCGGCGGAGACGTCGGTCCGGCAGGTCCGTGAGGACTGCTGCTGATGATGGGCGCCAGTGGCTGCTGTTGCTGTTGCTGTGGTCGAACCATCGATCCCTGGCCACTGGACGGCGGTGACTGAATGTGCGAGAGTGGTTGCTGCTGCTGCTGCTGCTGGAGGACAGAGGCAATGTTGCGCTGGGCGATCGAGGCAAAAGTGCTGTTGGTGGTGGACGTTGACTGCTGTTGAACAGTGGCGGCGGCGGCGGGCACATCGTCTTCCGACTCGTCAATGCCGGTGCTGTTCAGTGCGCCGATGCTCATAAAGATCATCTCCAGATCGCCATCCTCGTCCTCGGCCTGCTGCTCTGAGCTGGCACTGCTGTGGTTCTCACTGCCAACGCTGCTGCCGCCAGAGCCAGCCATCCGTTTCGCATCAGGAGTTGGGCCCTTCTCGATGAGCATGTTTGAGGAGGAGGAGCGGTCAGCAGCTTCCGCGGATGAGGAGAAGTTTGACGTGTGAAAGAGCGATCGAGAGCAGTTTGGTGAGATGTTAAAGTCCAAGTTGTTGAAGTGGCCTGTGCCCGGGTTCGGTCGGCGGGACAGATCACCATTGGTCTCGGAGATGGTGCGCATCATCGGCCCAATTTGCCCGGGTGATGGGACCATCATCGTGAGTTGCCAATGACATACAGAGAGTGGTGCTGCGAGTTGAATTGCGACTAGACGAGCCGCTGACTTCCGCTGATCGTCTAGCGAATGGCTGAAAGAAGAAGGGAGAAAGAGAGGGAAAGCATTACTACAAACTGTCACAGCAAGGACAAAATATCCATATCAATAAATAAACATTCCAATTGAGACGTCAGCAAATGCAAATATCTCCTCTTTCTAGTGTGTTCTAGTAAATTATGGTCATGACTCGAACTGTCCCGGTCGGCAAAGCGACTTTGGGAGCGAAGATTCTGCAGTTGACAAGAAGCAACAGCAGCAGTAGCAGACGACTAGAAAGCAATTTCGCACTGGAATCAACACAAACACAAAAGCACATCTCCGAGCAGCATTGCTGCTGCCAGTTTGAGCCCACTGTC